AGCGTATAAATATCACTCTAAATGTCAAGAAGTTCCTAAAGTTTTTTGTAGGCAGAGTTTGATTAAAATATATTAACTCAACAAATAAACATTTACTGAACATTTACTATGTGCCAGCAATGAATTCTTCAGTGTTTGAAAAAATACAGACATTTGCTTTCTGTAGACATTTTTTTCCCATGAGCATAAAATACAGTTTTCATAGGGTTATTTTTTCCCATAAGACATTAATTCACTCAATTATGAACTGCCCTATGGCAGGTTTGTGAACATCATCTTTATAGCTGGAGAGGGAAAAGTATGTTATTTCTGTCACATTCCCATTATTGGTAGTTAATAGCTCAAACTAATGCTTTTAAGACAGTTGCTCTGGAAAAAAAATCAAAGCTGAGTTCCAAATAACCAATCCAGAATTAACTTACTTCAGTTGTGTTTAATGGTCATATTTTTAAAAACTATATCAACTTCAGAGCATAGAAAACTATTTCAAATACCAGTCAAAGGCTATCCTCATATAATCTTCCACAGCTGATTCTCTAGGTAGCAGTTAAGAACAAGAAAGAGAATGGAGACGTAAAGGGGAAACATGCCCTTCTTTTCACTCAAAAAATAAAATGCCATCAGTCATGGCAAACCATGCTATCTTGATTTTCAGAGGTGAAAAAGAGGTAATTCTCTTTAGAATTCTTTCCAAATGCATCCCATGAGAAGTGGTTCCCTAGATAGCTCTAGTTCGCAAAGAATGATAAACATTCTGGATTAAGAAAGTCCCAATAAAAACAAACATCCGACTCTCATGAATCTATGGTTATAATCTCCAGTGCCGGGACTTCCCTGGTGGTCCAGTGGTTAAGACTCCACGCTTCTGCTGCAATGGGCACGGGCTCAATCTTGGTCAGGAAACTCAGATTCCTTGTGCCAAGTGGCACAGTCAAAACAAAGCAAAAAACAAACCTCCAATGCTGTGATTACACAAAACCTAGCCTTCTCCAATACAGTGACTTCATCACTGAAGCTCTCTCTCTTAAGGACTGGTCCACCAATGCCCAAGTGCAGCCAACCTGAAAGGGGCTGCCTTCCTTTATCACAAATGCTTTCTCACCCTAAGGGCTAACAAACCAAGTCCCAAGCTGATCCTAGCGGGCTCCTATCCCCTGGTCCCTGTGTACTAGTCGACCAGCCAAACTAATAAGGGACAGGAATATGCCCTAGTCCCGGTCAGGAATATGTGGGTGGCTTGCTCAGTCACAGGCAGACTTCCTGCTCTGAGGCCTCTTACCACTGGTAACCCAGCAAAAACCATTTCCTCTCTGGGTAAGCCAATAATTCCACAGGGATAGAAGGTAGGTCTTCCTCTCTGTGACCCTCTAAGCAGATCTGACTTCCTTCCCACAAACTGACAGCATTTGAGAAATGTTTTGACTTATTTCCTTCCTAGCCCCAAGTGACCTTCTAGTTTTAAAGGATTGGGAAAGATCTCCCTAACCCTAATAAAAAGCCTTCTTCACCATTCCTGCAGAAATCAGCCCAGTTCTTGCCATATATCCTGATATTTGTTGAATAAATAAATGAAGAAGGATTGTTTTCGTTTGTTTCTGTCTCCCCTTCACGGGACCAGGTCCACAGATGGGCAGCCTTCCCACAGTAGCCACCTCAGTCATTTGGAGGCTACTCAGTACCACCTCACAACAGCTGCCACTTTCACACTGAGCATCAGTTTGGAAAAGCAATCCAGCCTAGTGAGCAGTGAACACAGGTGACAAGTTGAGAAGGTAAGGCAGGAGTGTAATAAGGGAAACACAGTGTTATCTTAATAAATGGCACCTCCAGCTATTAGAGTGCCCTAGGGAGAGGAATGGCAAGGAGCCAAGCTTTCTCTGAAAAGTAGGAACTTCCTTCCTATCCTGTATTCCCAGATGCCCACCTGGAGTAGGCTCTGCATTCTCCAAACCCCCACCTACATTTCTGAAAATATTCTTGAGTGTGGTGTACAAGGCTCCTTTATCCTTCCCTCTAGGAACTCTTCCTGTGTCTCTCCCCTGGGCCAGATTCCTAGCACTCTCCCTAAAGAAACCATCACATGAATGCCAGATTTATTCAGCACTGTGAAGTTTCTGATGTCTGAAAAGGACTGAACTATGTCTGAAGAATTTTCCACATTCAACACACTCATAAGGCTTCTCACCAGTGTGAATCCTGTAATGTTCACTAAGGTGTGCATACTTGCGGAAGGTTTTCTCACACTCACTACATTTATAGAGCTTCTCACCGGTGTGAGTTCTGTGATGTTCAGTAAGAGATGTGTTGTGAGCAAAGGCTTTCCCACATTCTTGACATTTATAGGGCTTCTCTCCAGTATGAATTCTCATATGCTGAGTGAGGCAGGTATTCTGGTTAAAGCCCTTTCCACATTCATTGCATTTATAGGGTTTTTCTCCAGTGTGACTTCTCTGATGCCGAATAAGGCAAATGCTCTGAATGAAAGCTTTACCACATTCGCTGCATTTGTAGGGTCTTTCTCCTGTATGAATTCTCTGATGTTTAGTGAGTGGGGTGCTCTGAGCAAAAGCTTTACCACATTCCTTACATTTATATGGTTTTTCTCCAGTATGAATTCGCTGGTGTTTAATAAGGGATGGGCTCTGACAAAAGGCTTTCCCACATTCCTTACATTTATAGGGTTTCTCTCCAGTATGAATTCTCTGATGCTGAGAGAGGTTTGCCTTTGTATGGAAAGTTTTCCCACACTCATCACATTTATACGGTTTTTCCCCAGTGTGAATTCTCTGATGCTGTGTAAGATTTGAGTGTTTGCGAAAAGAAGAGCCACATTCGTTGCATAAATAAGGTTTCTCACCAGTGTGAATTCTCTGATGATGAATGAGGTGTGTGTTCTGACTGAAGGCCTTCCCACACCTATTACATTTGTAAGGTTTCTCTCCAGTATGAGTTCTCTGGTGTTCAGTGAGATGTGAATGATTGCGGAAGGAATTCCCACATTCATTACATTTATATGGTTTCTCTCCAGTGTGGATTCTCTGATGCTGAGTAAGAAATGATCGACATCGAAATGTTTTCCCACACTGCTCACACTCATATGGCTTCACTCCAGTGTGAATTCTTTGATGTCGAATAAGGAATGAGCTACGACTAAAAGTTTTCCCACATTCCTCACATGTGTAGGGTCTTGTATGAGTTCTCTGATGCTGGGTAAAGGATGAGCGCTGAGTAAAGGTCTTTCCACATTCACCACATTTCCAAGATTTTTTCTGTGTAGAGAGGGTCAAATATTTACTTTGGCCTGAAACCTCATTGGTGTGTATGCTACTTGTCTCCCATTTATGTAGGCTCTCTTCTGTAGAAACCCTGAGATGTGTAACAAGACTTGAGGTCAAAAGCAAGCTTCTCTCAAAATGATATTCTTGGCTAATCATTTCTGGAGGTGCTTCCTTATGGATAAAAGTTATTGCTCCAAAACCTTCTCGGAAAAAGCGTGGTCCAGGAGCCTCTCTGGGAAGGTTTTTCTTCATGTTCTCACATATATGTTTTTCTTCAAATGTAGAATCCTGGTATTCATCTTCTCGGGATCTCTTTGATGCTACCCCTGGCAACTCAATATCAGTGCCATCCTGCTCTGGAGCAGGCTTGTTCATCCAACCTGAAAAAAACCACCACAGTGAATGTCTCTTGTGTAGGGCAGAGTCTGGAAGTCCCTTAACTTAGAGGGACTTCATTTTGACAGGTCTCAATACTGGCCTATGAGTAAGGGTCAATAAGAGCAAGTGAGCATGTAATTCAGAGTTATAAGCGGTGGAAGAGATCCGCACCAGGGTAAGGTGATCATCATTAATGAGAAATGGGCAGCTGCAGAAACCAAGGAAGTGAGGCAATCAGAGACAAGGGAGACAAAAGGAAAAAAGACAAACAAACAACAGACTAAGATTAGGACAAAACGGTGAGAGAATGTAAACGAGCCAAATAGTGGAAATGAGATCAAATGAGTACCAGGGAAAAGTGAGCCCCAAAAGATGCTCACTCACATTCATCCCAACATCCCAAAAGAGAGGGCAATTTTCTCTTCTGAGCTTCATTCAGTTTCTGTTGTAAAATGTCCAGAGCCCTCCTATTTCTTCCACTGGTGAACACTTGCTCACTCACCTGGACACATCTCTCTTCCAATCTCTCTGTTTTCAGCTCCTTGCATATTCAACATCCACAAATCTTCTCTTTGCTTTGATTGTAAAACACTTCAAGGCTGGAAAAGTGGAGCCCTGCTCATAGAGGAAAAAAAGGTGGGGGAGGGGATATCACTTTCCCAGTAAACAGAAATATGAGAAAGAGCTGTTATCTGAGGATACTATATGATAATTCACACAAAACCTGTCAGGATAGCAATGCGCCTGCCTCACCAAGTGTTTGGGATGGCTTCCAGCTTTCTGGATTCACAAACTCCATCTGTCAGCTGTTCAAGTGACAGCCAGACAGACTAACATATTAGGAAATACTCAAGCACTTGATAAACACATCAGAATGTTACTTATAAAGATAAAAATAACTAACAATGGGAATATCCATGTCAATGAATCCACTCTTTCCATTATACAATAATCTAAAGAAAAGGCAATTAATATAATCAAAAGTTACATGGGGGGAAATGGCCTCATAGCAAGGCTAATGTATNAGAGTTTCTGGTTTTTGGAAAGTCAAAATTGTAACTGTTCATCAAAAAATGTCTCTCCATATAAGCCTGAAGTGAGAAGTAAAACTTGAAACATCTCAAGAAAGACAGAAGGCAGAGAGATGGTTTATCATAATCAAGACCTCAGAAAACATGAAAGAATAGGATGTCTGGTGAATTAATTAATAAGACCAGCTCTATGGCCTTCTCATCAAGGTCTGTGCCTCAGTGTTGAGATTTAGAGGTTTAGGAGGATTCTAGGTGGGATTTCCCAATCCTCTTCCATAAAGGGACATAAAGTGGACCCACTACAGAATCCTACAGATATTCATGAGGTAGAGTGGGGTCTGGGTATAATCAGAGCTAGACAGTGGAGAAAAAGTCAGACATGACCCTGCCCACCCAGAGCTTACACCACAGCTCAATAAAGAAATTACACCAATAATTACAAATAAGGGAATTAAAAAAGCAGAAATATTGGGCACTGTGGAAATGTAGAGCAGAGGGGACCTAATCTAACCTGGGAAAGAAAGCCTCACTGAAGGAGAGGTAAGTAAGGATTAGATGGGCAAAGAGGTAAAAGAAGATATCAAGAGAAATGAAATGGAATACATAAAAGGAATCAAGCCCCATGCTTCAGAAGAATGAACGAGATCTAACAAGGCCAAAGTACAAAACACTAGAAATAAGCCATGAAGCCTGAGGCAAGCAAATACAATCCTGCAAGTCATTTTAAGGAATTAACCCTAAACTGAGCAGAAAGCCACAAAAAGGACTGGAAACGGTTTGAAAAAAAGATGTGACATGATTAGATCTGCTATCACACACACACATCCTTTTGTCCATAGTACAAGAGAAGAAGTGTGTACAGGGGTGAAAGGTAGGAGGCAAGGTGAAGGCTGGAGGACCCCTGAGAGGTTGTTTCAGCAATCCAGTAAGGGGACTGGGCTGGCTAAGAGAAAAAAACAACAGGACAAGATGAATATTAGAGGGAGATGTAAGGAGAAAAAGTTAATGATAATTTGCTGGTTTGAAGCTTGAGTGATGACAGTAACCTTTAATGAGAGTGGGAACATTGGTTTGGGAGGAAAAAGATACATTCAGTTTGAAATATCAGGCATACATATATGGAATAGAGGAGAGACGTATGGGCTGAAAACTTGCATTTAGAATTTTTGTCATAAAGAGAGTAATTGAAATTCTGAGGGTAACAGATAAAATCACCAAAAGAGTATATAGCTAGGGGATCTCCCCAGCAGTTCAGTGGTAAAGACTCTGTCCTTCCAATGCAGGGAGTGGGGGTTCGATCCCTGGTGGGGGAACTAAGATTCTGCATACCGTGTGGCACAGCTAAAAAAAAGAAAAGAGAGTGTAACTAGGAAACCTTAACAGTGAGTTTACATATTTACAAGGAAGTTAAACTCTGGCTTTTGACTTTATAGACTCTTAATCCCCTAAGAGAAATATGCAAAATAATTTAATATATGATAAAAATTGGCATTTCTAATCATAAATAATTGATTTCTCCCAAATTGTGCTGAGATTGTTTAACTATCTGGAAAAAACACTTAGTGAGACTCCTATTTCATACCACATACCAAAATAAATCTAAACTGAGTAAAGGGTTAAAAAATGTATTTTTTTAATTTATACATTAAAAAAGTAGATGGACCTGATAAATAAAAAGCTTCTTATTAATGAGTAAAGAAAAAAGATGAACTGACAGAAAAATGGGCAGTATAACAAATACTCCAAGAATTAACAAAAAGCCAATAAACATATCAAAACAAAGCTTCACCTCCACGGTAATCAAACAAATGAGAACTGAAAGAATGAAGAATTGATTTTTATATCAAATTGAAAATTTTCTCTTTAATGCTAAAACTCAAAAACTGGCAAAGGTCAGGGAAAGAGCCTCTCACACACAACTGGTGGGAATATAAACTGGTACCATCTTTCTAGAGATAATCTAGTTACATATATTAGGTCTTAAAGTTGTATGCTGAGTGGCAATTGGGACACCAGGATCACCATTTTGTAGGTACAGGAACTTAGAACAAAATTCTCAGTCACCTGCAATGTATCTTAGAAGATCCTCAAATTTATCAGTATGTCATAATTTCAGATACAAATATAGCATCATATATGTATGTTAAAATATGCATATAAATAAGACAAAAAAGGAAAATTAATCATCACCATGGGGATATGAATTATGAATGATTTTCCCCCTCTATTTCCCATATTTCCTCAATTATTTATATTCTGCCTTATTTTAAAAAAACTAACGTTAGGAATTCTCTGGTGGTCCAGTCGTTAGGACTCTGCACTTTCACCGCTGAGGGCCTGGCTCAATCCTTAGCTGGGGAACTAGGGTCGCACAAGCTGCACAGCATGGCCTAAATAAATAAATAACTTAAATCTCTCAGAATATCTATCAATTTGTTAGCCACTATCATCTCTGAGGAATAAGATTACGGTACACTTTTTTCTTTTTTCTTGCTGCGCCATGTGGCATGTAGGATCTTCTCCAACAAGGGATTGAACCTTTGGCCCCTGGATTGGGAGCACAGAGTCTTAACCACTTGACCACCAGAAAAGTCTGAAACTTTTGTTGTCATAAGGCCTTTCCTTTTGTAATGCTTGAAAGTCTTCCTGTAGAAATAAATAACTCTATAATCACAGAAAAAAGTGAAAAAGTATAATCAGAGATGAGCACAGAGACTTATGTGCAAGGATCACATTGTTACTATAATTTTAAGAAAATATAGGCAAGTAAAAATTGATAGTGTATCAATATGACAGATTATGAAATTATTAAGACTCATGTTTTCAAAGAATACGCATGAGAATACAATATGTTAAAATAGGAGACTACAAAACACTAAAAACAAAAAATATGCACATATATACCAGTACTAAAGTAAGCATTCAGTAAACAGAACCTATTATCAACTACACATATATACACAAAACACACACATAAAAAAGGGCAGTGGAAGACCCTCCAAAGTGTCAACAACTGATCTCTAGGTCATTTAATGGGTTACTTTATTTTGTCCTTTATATTCTTCTACATATTTCATTTTTCCTGCAATAAACATGAATTACTTTTATAATCAGAAAAACATCTTAAAGTGAAAGATCTGGCTCAGAGTTTTAAAAACTACCTCCCTCCCCCCAAAAAAAAACCTTTTTTTTAAAATGCCACATCTAATGGATATGGCATAGGTTTCCCATTCAGAATAAGATCAAAGTGGCAAAGTGAGCTGTACTGAAACTCAAGAAACTTTACTCTGCCATAGCCCATGTGAACAGGCTATTTATCTGAAAAAGGTGACAAATCAGGTAATATTCCAAGTCCTTCCAGCTCCAACACTCTGTGAAACCCTTGATTAAATGAGTTAATTCACATAAAACACTTATACAGATACATGCCACACAGCAAGCACTCAGCAGGAGTCCGGAAATATCACGTTTGAGGAGGACAAGTCTGTCATATCTACTCTCTAGTTGTGGATCATCCAAGCTGTTTGTCTACATCAAAAGTTAGCAAGCATTGCCTTTGCAGTCTGAAAACAGAACTAGACAATATGTAAACAAGTGAGCTTGTTTGTTTCAACAATTTTTTTTTTTTAACAAAAACAGGTGGTAGACCAAATTTTAGCCCATGGGTCAGTTTGCTGACATCTGGCTTCTAAGTCAGCCAGAATGGAATGCTTACACAAATAAGATAATGTGAAACATCTGTTCGTGATTTTAAGATGCTAAAAGGATCAAACTTAATCCAGATTTTGGGGAAACAAATATATATACATATACATATATCCAACTTCATCTTGCTACAATTTACAGGGACCTAGCATCCTCCTCATGTCTTGTAAGGTTTCTCTCTGCTGCCACTTTGCTACTCCTCTAGAAACGGCTGAAGGATTCTGGGAAGGTGTTTTTCAAGAACTGAAACCACAATTCCTTACATAAGACCACAACTAAATGTACTGTTTTGTGAAGCCCTTCCTAATTTGCTTGTTGGCCCCAAGTAAAGTATTCCTCCAGGCTGCAGCAGCCCACTGGACCTACATTTTCTGCAGCGTTGGATCGATAGCAGTCATCTATTCTCTTACAGGCCTCGATTTCCTCATTAAAAATTAGATCTTGTGAAGGCTAAATAAATGCACAACTGTTTCAACCAGTGCCTGGTACCCGTTAAGTGCCAAATAAACGCGGTTTAAAATATTATCACAGATCTGCTCATATATATATATTTTCCCGTACTACACTGGGAAGCGACTTCCCACTTGGCAAGGCTCCGAGGTCACTCACTCTTGTAGTCCCGCCTCTAAATTCTAGGTAATATTTGGCAAGTAATGGATAGTAAACTTTTGTTGTTAGACATAAACGTTTCCATAAGTGCTATCGCGTACATACTGTCCACTGAGCTTTGTAGAGAAAAGAAGGCAGTGACCGTTCAACATGAGAGATCAAGAAACCGGCTCGGTATCCCAGGGAATTACAGCTCAGGTCTCCAAACTCTCTCGCTAGTGCGTTTCACACTATTTGCTTTCTCCTTTTAAGTCCCTTCAAATTTTTAAAGTTTGAGCTGCAGGACTGTTGAGGGAAACAGCTTGTACCCAAACGGAGAACTCTGGCCCCCAGGATTTCGTTTCCGAACTCGGGTCCTAGGTCTCGGTAATTTATCTGTTACTCAATCATCATTCACTCATTCACGCCATCATCTTCTTAGGCGTGTTCTGTGTGCCAGGCCCTGGTGAGCAGTGCTGAAGCTGCAAGCGGGGATGGGCCGCCAGGAGCTCGGGGGCCCCGCCCCGGTACGCAGTAATTCGGGGAGAACGAGGCCCGGGCGGGTTTCCCACATAAACCAGGGCCGCCGCCACTGCCGGGAGGCGTGCGGTGTCTGTCTTTCCCTTCCCCTGGGTCCCGCCCGCTCACCGTGATGTCCGGGGGCTCCCCACAGGGCAGCGACCACCGTCCGTGAGGTACACGGAGACCCAGGGGTTAGAGTCACCTGCCGAGGCCGGAAGAACAGCGGCGCGGCCGGTAGTGCGTCATCAGAGGCCCGGCGGCTCTTGTCCGGCGCAGCCCTCGGCTGTCTAGGAATTGAGAGGAGCCTCTCGATAGCTGCCTCATAGAAGGCGATCCCCGTCGGTGTCCCTCCAAGCCCAGTGGCATGCCTGATGTCCCATGAAAGACTGCCTTGCCCGGAATACAGTGGACACCTCATGCCTCGGGAAAACTGTAGATGGGGGCGTTAGGGTTGGAAAAAATACTAGGTGGGTGTCAGAACGGGCCATCTCAGCAAGGGAGCAACACGTTCCATCTACAGAATAGCTCCTGGCACTTCCCTACTGATCCAGTGACTAAGACTCCGTCCTCCCATTGCAGGAGGCCCAAGTTCCATCCCTGGTCAGGGAACCAGATCCCACATGCTGCAAGTGATCCTGTGTGCTCAACTAAGACCTGTGGCAGCCAGATAAGTAAATACTTTTTAAAAAAGTGCTGGCCCTACCTTCTCTCCTTCCCTTGACTTATAGGCAGTGGGGACAGCCCATAAATGCTGGCTCCTTCCTCAGCATAATGGTTCCTTGGACTCTCATCTAAACAGATCCTACCTTTTGGGAACTGAGTTATAACTTTACATCTCCCCTCTCTGACCTGTTTCCTCTCAACAGCCAAGACCTCTCTGCTTCTTACTGTCAAGCTTCAAGTAGATTTGGTGTAACTCCCAGCAGCGGTGATGGGAAATCCAGACCAGCTCCAGGGGCAGGACTGAGCCTAAGGGCTTTGCTGGCCCCAGTCTGCCCAGTTGAGGGCTCACCACCACCAGGGGACAGAACAGAACAGTGGCTCAGGAGCTCCTGCCGTTGACGTCTACGCCTGAGGCAGTCAGCTGGCACTGTACTCCATGTTGAACTGTGAAAGTAAAAATGTTTTCCCCTGAGTCAAATTAGGGTTGGTTTATCTCATCCACACCTATCCACAGGAACGCGTTTCCCTGGTGGTTCAGTGGTAAAGAACCCGCCTGCCAAGGCAGGAAACAGAAGACTCCAGTTTGATTCCTGGGTCCGGAAGATCCCCTGGAGAAGGAAATGGCAATCCACTCCAGCATTCTTGCTTGGGAAATCCCATGGATAGAGGAGCCTGGAAGGCTACAGCCCAGGGGTTGCAAGAGTTGGACACAACTTAGCGACTAAACACCACCACCCACAGGACTATGGCAGGCTTCTGCAACCAGGCAGCCTTTAAATAAAGGGTTACAAATCCCTTTTAATCGCCTCATTTCATCCCAACCGCCTAACCCTGAGTGGAAGAGAGTATTTACGTTCAGAGCTGTTACGGATTTGTCCTGGGTTGGAGCTAAGTGAGCAGCAGGGCCAGAGTAGAATACTCTCAAGAACTTTGGGAAAATAATCTTTTCCACAGCGGCACGTCTGACTTGTGTCCAGTGGCCCAAGACGACAGAAGTCAGCTCGGCAGGAGTCCCAGGGTCTGGAGGAAGCTGTCCTGGCGCTGGTATGAGCCCCTCCTTCTCCAACCCATTCCCCTCACACTCCCACCCAGTCGATTCCTTCCGCCTCCCCGACCCCTTCGCCTCGCTCTTCCCCACCCTCATACCTATTCTTTCCCTGCCTGCCCTGGCCTCATCCCCAGCTCCCAGCACAGCGCCCACTCCCCGGTGGCAGCCTCCTCCTCCCCGTAGCTAACCTCAGGCTGCAGCCTCTTCTCCGCTTTCCTTCCCAACACATCCCCTCCCAGCGCCTGACTAAAGCCAGATCCTCCCTTGGCCAAACTGCCGATCCCTCCTTCCCCTCCATCCTCTGCACTCCTGGCTCACCCGGGGGTCTCCTAGGTGCCAGCCAGGCCAACCCAGACTCGGGACCCTCAGTCAGCGCGCGAGCGCGGCTCAGTGAACCAGCCGGGGAGAGAGCGCCAGCCTGCAGGCTCTTGCCCGCAGCTCCACGAAGCGAGGAGGGGTCTCCATCTTTGCGGTTCTCCCGCTCGGTTCCTCCTGTTGGAACCCCGGGAAAAGAGGCCGGCTGTGGGGCCAGGACCCAACTCGGTCCCTACTATAAAATGAATTTCCAATGAACCTGTCTCAAAGGACTAGGTGAAATCATGGGAGAATGAATCATCTTGAAGAGGGCAAGCCTTTGATCTGACAGTAAATGGTAAATATCTGAACAGCAAAGATCACAGGAAAGGGACTGACTGTAAACTGGGGGAAATACTTGCAGCACATGGCAGATGAGAAGAGTCACGTCTTTATTACAGAATTGGTAGAAATAAATTCTTAGGGCTTTCCTCTGGCTTAGCTGGTAAAGAATCTGCCTGCAGTGCAGGAGACCTGGGTTTGATCCCTGGGTTGGGAAGATCCCCTGGAGAAGGGAAAGACTACCCACTCCAGCATTCTGGCCTGGAGAATTCATGGACTGTATAGTCTATGGGGTTGCAAAGAGTCTGGACTCGACTGAGCGACTTTCGCTTTCACTTTTCACTTTAGAAATAAATTCTTAAGAGGATCAACAACCCAACAGAAAAAAAAAAAAAGGTTCACTCATAACTGAATGCAAACTAAAATATGAGAGCATTTTTTATTTATCAGAGCAGAAAAGACAAATAATAGTATTATAGAGGATTCAGCGAAGTGGGCATTTCCACACACACTGGAAACTGCTTTTGCAATTTCTATCTAAATATCAAATGCACATACCCTTTATCAATTTATCCTGCAGACAAAATTGTATGCATACAACTTTGTCTGCAGGATAAATTGATAAAGGACAGTATGCTGGGATATTCATCATGGCATTGTTTGTAAAAGCAAAAGAGAAAAGAACCTACATGACCACCAGTAGGGCACTTGCTCCATGAATCATGGGACATCCACACAACAGAATATCACACAGCAGTGAAAAAGAATGAGATAGATCTTACAGGCAAACAAACCATCTCCAAGACAGTTTAAAAAGACAAAGTTTAGTATCCTAAGCTCGCGTGTGCGCATGTGTGTGGGGGGAAATATAAGACTATAAATGCATGTCTGGGAGGATCCCCAAGAAATTGACAAGTTATCTGTGATGCACATATTGGGGTACTCTGGGCTGGGAGGGACAGAACTTCTTTGCTGTCTGCTCTTGTACCACCAAACTTCTTACCACAGGCAAGCACTGTTGTTCCCATTAAACAAAGCACTTTTAGATAAGGAGAGGGGTTCTTGGGGGCACAGTGAGAAGACAGCTTGGGTGAGGGGATAATGGTCTTTAGCCTCAGTTATCTTAATCCTGACTGTGACTACTGACTATGAAAATGTAAAAAAATTAGTAATCCAAAAAAGTGGGGGCATATGTATACCTATACCTGATTCATTTTGCTGTACAGTAGAAGCTAACACAACAGTGTAAAGCAGCCATGCTTCAATAAAAACATTTCAAAAAAAAAGAATAAAGAGAATGTAGATAATAAGAGAACTACCCTCCTCAGGTGAAGTCTAAATGAGATAAAAAACATTTGGCATTTAGCAGAGTGCCTAGCCCACAGGAACCCCCTCCAGCTAACAGAGCAGTTATAACCTTGCTATTGGCCCAGCATGAGGCCCTGGGTAGCCAAATAGCCCGCTAGGACTTGGGTTGCCTCCTCACACGCAGGCTGACACAGGGCAGCCCCAGAGAGGCGCAAAGAAACCAGGACGTCTCGGGTCTGGGCTAGGCCCCATTGGTCAGAGATCATGTGTCACAGCGGGGGGGACTGGACCCGATCCTCCGTGCCCCGAAGGCCGGCTCATTCCATCTGTTTCTTCTCCTCTGGCCCTTGCTGCTGCCTGGGTCAGAATCCAGGGTCTCTCCTAGACTCTGACAGAAGTGGTCTGTATGGTCTCCAGAGTCTTTTCTCCCCTCACCAGCCCAGCCTCCACTCTCCACAGCTATAACTGCATGTCACAAACACTGGGGTTACATATATTCTCCAGCTGAATCCCTTCACCTGGCATTAGGTCCTTGGCAACTGACCACTGTATTTCCCCTGACTCTTATTCTGCTGCTCCCCACTACCCATTCCACACCTCACAAGAACATCTTGCCACTCCAAACAAGCCATGATCTTTTTCTTAACTTTTCCATTCTGATCATGAGAGTAATTTAGGCTCACTGTAGAAAATGTAGACAATGCAGGAAAATTTAACCACTGTTAATACTTCAGGTATTTATTTCCTTCCAGTCTTTCCTAGGCATATATTAATACATTTAAGAAAAGTGAAGTGCCTATACACACCACTGAATTTTATACTTTGCATGTTTCATTTAATATTATTGCAAATGAATATTTTATCATATCACTAAAGATTCCTTAAATTATGATATTTAGTGGTTGCAGAACATTCCACCACATATAATCATTCTACTATTGTTAGTCACTTGGATTGTTTTCATTTTTTGTCAAATATTAACACTGACAAGAATATAAGCCATTGTCAAAATAATGTTTTAGTTTTCTAAAAGTGGTACTACTGTATCAAAGGATTATCAACATTCTTTTTTAAATCATTTAGCTTCCAATAAAATAATGGGTTAAAATGGTTTAAAATATATGAACAACAATGATGGGACAGGGAAACAAATTTCTAGAGGATAGAAAATGGATGACATAGTGGTTCATCCACAATAAAATTAGATGGAGGGAGTGATAGCTTGAAATACTTGTTGAGGGCAATGCAGTGAAAGGAGGCAGCTGTCTACTTGCCAAACTCCAGATGACTTGGGACTTGGAAATCGCTGGTGCAATGAAGGGTAAGATGGAACAGGGCTAACATTAAGTGCATCAGGGGTCTTCTCTGGTGGTCCAGTGGCTAAGAATCCGAGCATCCACTGCAGGGGGGTGGGTTCACTACCTGGTTGGGGAACTAAGATCCATGCATGTGGTGCAGCGCCACCAAAATTTTTTAATTTAGTTTAAAAAAAAAGCATCAACTGAAAACCTGTAGTAACACTTGATCCCCTTCTCTCTCACTCTAGAGAGTCACTTACAT